TAGGGAATGCCTGTGGTATGTTTAATTTGTAGGGTATTGCAGAATTGTAAAAAGGTTTTGGCTATATAACCAGGGCCATTATCTGTTTTAATTTGTTTGGGTATTCCTAAAATAGAAAAGCAGTGTAATAAATGAGCTACAACATGTTTGGTGGCCTCTCCTGTTTGGAGAGTTGCACTAATGAATCCACTATAGGTGTCTATGCATACATGGATATATTTTAGTCGACCAAATTCTAAGTGGTGAGTAACGTCCATTTGCCAAATTTCGTTGGGGATGAGTCCTCGGGGGTTAATTCCTAAATGAGGAACAGGTAAATACGTTATGCAGTTGGCGCATTGTTTAACTATTTGTCGAGCTTGTTCTCTAGTAAGTTTAAACATGAGTCTTAAGGTTTGGGCGTTTAAATGATGTAAGGCATGTGCTTTTTGTGCTTGTTGTAAATTGTCTGTAGTGACTGTGGCTATGGTTTTTGTTGCCATGTCGGCTGTTGCGTTACCTCATGTTAAAGGTCCCGGTAATCCTGAATGTGCTCTGATATGCCCAAGAAAAAAGGGAGTAGTCCTTTTTTGAATAAGTTGTTGACATTGTAAAAATAAATTAGCTGTGTCTGAAATATGTTTAATTTGAGGCACGGTCTCTAAGAGGGGTATTGAATGAGCCAGGTAGGCGCTGTCTGTGTAAATGTTAAGTGGCTGACAAGGAAAAGCTGATAATGCTGCAATTATAGCTTGCAATTCGACTAGCTGAGCTGATGTATAAGTGGTCTGGAATTTAACGACTACATTATTGTAGGTGTAAGCGGCAAGTCCTGTGGAAGATCCATCAGTGAAAATTAGTAATGCGTCATTGAGAGGTTCTTTATTGGTAATATGGGGAAACACAAATGCATGAAGTTTACAAAATTGAATGAGTTTGTTAGGTGGGTAATGGTTGTCAATTGTACCAGTGTAAGAAGCACAAGCAATCGGCCAGGCTTCCGTATTTTGTAACAGCCAATGGATGTGTGATTGAGTGTAGGGCTGTATAATGGTAGAGGGTTCTATTCCAAAGCACTTTCTACTGTTTTCTCTTCCCAAGATAATTAGATCAGCTATGGCATCATAATAAGGCAACAAAACCTTTTTAGGGGAGGAGGGCAGGTGTACCCACATAATGGGATTGCTCTGCCAGAATAAGCCAGTAGGGGTTATTGTTGTGTTAAAAATAATGAATATTAATGGCTGAGAATAATCAATACTGGTAACAAATTGTGTTGCAATGGCATATTCCACCTGTTGGAGTGCTATTAATGCTTCTTTAGTAATGGACCTGGGGGATTTTGGATTAGAGTCTCCTTTTAATACATCGAAAAGAGGTTTTAACTCTCCTGTAGTGAGTTTTAAGTATGGCCGAAGCCAATTTATGTCTCCCAGTAATTTTTGGAAATCATTTAAAGTTTTTAAATGATCACGACGTATAACGGCCTTTTGATTAATGATTTTAGGTCCATTAATTTGAAAACCAAGATAGGTGTATGGATCTTGTAATTGTACCTTTTCTGGGGCTATTTGTAGTCCGACTGCTGTTAACTCTTGTTTGAGTTGGGCAAAGCACTATAAGACTTGTTCACCAATTTCCCCTGCTATTAAAATATCATCCATATAGTGTATAATATACATTTGTGTCCATGTTTTTCTGACTGGCTCTATAGCAGCAGCTACATATTTTTGACACAAGGTAGGACTATTGGCCATACCCTGAGGTAAGACTTTCCATTGATAGCGCTTCATTGGTTGTTTAAAATTTGTAGATGGAAGACTAAAGGCAAATCTTTTTTGGTCAGCAGGGTGAAGGGGAATTGTAAAAAAGCAGTCTTTAAGGTCAATAATGATTTTAAAATATTTTTGAGGAATCGCAACTGGTGAAGGCAATCCTGGTTGTAAGGCACCCATAAGGATCATAGTGATATTTACCGCTCTTAAATCTTGTAAGAGTCTCCATTTGCCAGATTTCTTTTTAATAACAAAAATAGGTGTATTCCAAGGAGAATTACTTTCCGCAATATGTCCTGCTATCAGTTGTTCCTGCACTAACTGTTGGGCAGCACTTAGTTTATCATTGAGTAAAGGCCACTGATCAACCCAAAAGGGCTCATCTGACTTCCAAGTAATGGGGTCAGCGCACCTTTGGGGTGCAGGTATGTCAGTGGCCTGAGCTAAAAATTTCCAAACCCCTTTTTATCAAGTTGTCCTGAAACCAGTATAGGCTGTGGAATACCGTTTTCTCCTTTTCCAAGACCTTTACCAGGGGTGTATCCTTGAGTTAACATTTGTGCAGTAACTATATCATTTGGACTACACATTATAATTTTCATTTGAGAGAGCAGATCTCGCCCCCAAAGGTTAACAGGTAGGTAAGGGATGACAAATGGCTTAATAAGGCCTGAATTGTTTTCTTTATCTGTCCATGTTAGGTATTTAGAACTTTGTTCAGGATTACTGCTTTGTCCAATTCCTCTCAAGTGAGTTAAAGTCTCTGTAGTAGGCCAATGAGAGGGCCAATCTTCCTGTTTAATGATAGTTACATCAGTCCCTGTGTCTATTAGTCCAGTGAATGCCTTCCCGTCTAACCATAAGGTTAGAGAGGGTTTTTGATTTGTAATTGGTTGCACCCAATATATGTCTGATGATCCAAAACCTTTTATATTTCTATTAGAGTGTTGGATATTATTATTTGTTTTGACCAAAGGTAGCAGGATTAACTGAGCTATTCTAACTCCTTGAGGGACAGTAATAATATTATCAATAGCTCTGGCCATAATTTTAATTTCTCCTTCATAATCATTATCGATAACTCCAGGGAGGACTTGTAAGCCTCTCATGGTGACACTACTTCTTCCCAAAAGCAGCCCAAAAGTGTTAGGTGGTAAAGGTCCATATATTCCGGTATTTAAGGTTTGTGGTCCCATTTCAGGTGTTAGTACTGTGTGGGAGGTGGAACTGAGGTCCAGTCCTGCACTTCCTGGGGTTGCTCTACTAAGTTTTGAAATGGATTGCTGCTGCTGGCTGGAACGAAGCTGACTGCCCCATATGCTTGTTTCGGGGCCTGAGGCTGGCCCCTCATCCCGTTTCCCTGCCTAGGGGATAAAGGATTTCCTTGACTGTCAGTTTTAGATTTACATTCGTTTGCCCAATGCCTTCCTCTTTTACACCTTGGGCAAAGGCCTGGAATTTTTGCTTCTGGATTTTTATTTTGGTTTTCATGGCAATCTTTTGCAAAGTGTCCCCTTTTACCGCATCTAAAACATCCCCCTTTATCTCTACCTTTGTTAATAAGGAAGTCTCTTACTGTTTGGCCGCTAAAAGCGGCGGCCATTGCTAGGCCTTGTTGATATGAGGGCCCAATATCTGAACAAAGGCGAATGTATCCTGTTAAATCTGTTTTCTTTCAATAAGGTCTGATTGCCGCTTGGCAGGCGGGGTTAGCGTTTTCATAAGCTAACTGTTTAACATAATCTACACCCGTTTCTGCATTTCCAAAGATTCTACCTGCCGTGGTCATAAGTCTATGCACAAAGTCTGAAAATGGCTCATCGGGTCCTTGTTTAACCACTGTGAGCGAGGCCCCTGGATCTCCTTTAACGGGAAGTTTTCTCCAGGCTTTTGTAGCGGCAGCCTGGATTTGTGAGAACAGTCCAGGATCATATTGCATTTGGGCCTGAGTGTCTGCATAATTACCTAAACCAGTTAACATATCAAAATCCCAACCGTTTCCTGCCTGTTGATTTCTTTTAGCCGTGTCTCTACAATTTTCAAAGAACTCTGACTTCCAAATTAAATGGTCTCCCCCAGAAAGGACTGCCCTAACTAAGGTATTCCAGTCTGTAGGAGTGAGCCAATTCTCAGCTACAGATTCCACTATAGCAAGAGTATATGGAGCAGTAGCCCCATACTGAGAGGCAGCAGTCTTTAACTCTTTTATAATAGTAAAGTCAAATCCAGTATGATGCCTCCAAGCCTGTCCCCGTTCATCTATGGTTTCAGTGACCGGAAAAACGTCTTTGGGGGAGGAGTCTTCTCTATGTCGGCTAACAACTAACCCCCCTTTTGGAACATGTTGTCCAGGCCGCTGAGGTGGGCGCAAGGAACCCTCCATAGCATCTGAGTTGGGTATTTTTTCATTTCCTGTCTTTAGCTTTTGGAGCCTAATTATCAATGATTGATGTAACTCTTCAAGTTTAATTTGTTCTTCTAGTTGAGCAACTTTTTGTTTTAATTCTTCTTTGGGATCTATTGCTGCCATAAGAATGGGCACAGAAGCCTCATTATGTGTCTTATTATATGGGGGCGGGTATGAAGTAAATGGAGGCAAATCAGGGTTGTGATATTTAGCCGCCTCTTCCTCTAAATCATCCCAATTTATGTCTGATTGATTAGGCTTATTAATTTCCTCCTCTTTTTGAAGCATCTGTAAAATTGGGTATTTTTTTGGTTTGTTTTAGTGTGGCATTTCTTTATCTGTTACAGAAGGAGACTTGATTTCCTCATGATCACTTTAGAGGGAAATGAGATCCTCCTCCGTATCTTGCGGAGGCTTTGTAAGGTTAGAGCGGGAGTTAACCTTTAAAATATGCTCTGTCTGAGCGACCGCAGCCATGACTTGCGGATCGGCCTCCTTCTTATCTATTAAATCTCTAATGAGGTTCCAATAAGAGAAGGCAGTCACAGGAATTTTTTCTGGCCCAAAAGTATTATAATAGTCCTGAAGACAATCCCCTACTCTACGCCATCTTTTAATATCAATAGTTCCTTCCTGTGGGAACCAAGGGCAAGTGTCTTTTACAAAATCAAAAAATTTAAACAAATCATTACCTTTAACCTTTACTCCTCGTATCTTTAAAGCCTCTTTTAATTGTCCTACATAGATCTGATGTTGGCTTAATTCTTGTCCCATTTCGGACGCGTCACTTACCTTCAATTCTGACGCGGCAGGTTCCCGCGGTGATCGGAAGAGTTCACTTTCTTTTGTCTTCGTTAGCGGTCGACCGTCCTTTGGCGTCCTCTTCCTCACGGAGTCCCTCGTTTCCAGGTCCCTGTTCAGGCGCCACATATCCCGGCCCGCGGGATCGTCAAAGCAGGCCCTGGAGGAGGGAGTGGGAATTTGGGGAATAAGAGACATGAGAAATGGAGACAAGACAGTGCTCTGATCAAGTCTCGTTTAATGGCGGTAATGCAGTGCCTTATATACACTTGGAGAGGAAGGGGTTGGGCCAAGGCGGAAATGATCTCATTTCAGAGGGCGTGGCCAGGCAGGTTTCGGTTTCAACGGTCGGACGTCACGTTGTGCCTGCGCTATAAAGTAACAATTTTCGCGCGTGCGGGAAAGATGGGTGAAGAAGAAGCAGGAAGAGCGCCATCTTGTGTGAGGTATTTAATACAGGGGAAAAAGACAAATCTAGGAAGGAGGTGAGAGGTGGAAATGAATAGCGCTCAGGCGTTTAATCGTCAATAATTACTCGCTATGGCAGGGGCGCACAGCTCCAGACACTACATCTCTTTTAAGTCTCTAATAACTTGTTTTATAAATCCGGGTGCTCCTGTATTGGGTGCATACACATTTAGGATACTTAGCTCATCTTGTTGAATTTTTTCCTTTACCATTGTGTAATGTCCTTCTTTATCTTCTTTGATCTTTGTTGGTTTAAGGCCTGTTTTGTCAGAAACTAGGATGGCAAGCCCTGCTTTTCTCTGCTTTCCATTTGCTTGGTAAATTTTCCTCCATCCCTTTATTTTGAGCCTATATGTGTCTTTGCAGCTGAGATTTGTCTCTTGAATACAGCACACTGATGGATCTTGATTGATTCTATCCAGTTTGCCATTGTGTGTCTTCTGATTGGGGCATTCAGACCATTTACGCTTAAGGTTAATATTGTTATGTGTGAATTTGATCCTGTCAAATAATGTCAGCTGGTAATTTTGCAGACCTGTTGACGTATTTGCTTCTTAGTGTCATTGGTCTTTGTACTTCCATGTGTTTTTGCAGTGGCTAGTAATAGTTTTTCCTTTCCATATTTAGTGTTTCCTTCGGGGGCTCTTGCAAGACAAGCCTAGTGGTGACAAATTCCCTCAGCATTTGCTTGTCTGAAAAAAATTTTATTTCTTCTTTGCTTATGAAGCTTAGTTTGGCTGGATACTAAATTCTCAATTGGAAATTCTTTCCTTTTAGAATGTTGAATATTGGCCCCCAATCTCTTATGGCTTGCAGTGTTTCTGCTGGGATGTTTGCTATTAGTCAAATGTCCTTCCCTTTGTAGGCTACCTGGCCTTTTTCTCTGGCTGCCCTTAACATTTTTTCCTTCATTTTGACCTTGGAGAATCTGATGAGTATGTGTCTTGGGGATTGATCTTCTCATGGACTGTCTTACTGGGGTTCTCTAGATTTCCTGAATTTGAATGTTAGCTTGTCTTGGTGAGTTGGGGAAGTTCTCCTGGATGACATCCTGAATTATGTTCTCCAACCTGGTTCCATTCTCCCCATCTCTTTCAGGTACCCCAATCAATTGTAGGTTTTTTTTTTTTTTTTTTTTTTTTTTTTTACATAATCCCATAGTTAGGTTTTGTTCATTCCTTTTCATTCTTTTTTTCTCTAACCTTATCTTGTTTCAGCAAGATAGTTTTCAAGCTCTGAAATTCTTCCCTCTGCCTGGTCTATGTGGTTAGTGATACTCGTGGTTGCATTCTGACATTCTTACGTTGTCCATCGGGTCTTTTATTTTCCTCTCTACACTGGTTGCTCTGGTTAACAGTTCCTTATGATTTATCACGGTTCTTAGCTTGTTTGATTTGGGTTAGAATATACTCCTTTATCTCAGCAAAGTTCACTATTACCTGCCTTCTGAAGCCTATTTCTGTCAATTCATCTCAGCCTCTGCCCAGCTGCTTGTCCTTGCTGGAGAGGTGTTGTGATCATTTGGGGGAGAAGAGGCCCTCTGGACTTTTGAGTTTTTAGAGTTTTATTCTTTCTCATCTTCTTGAGTTTATCTACCTTCAACTTTCAGGGTCCTGACCTTTATATAGGGTTTTTGTGGTGACGTTTTTGTTGATGCTATTGTTGTTTTTGCTTTCCGTTTTTCTTTTTAACAGTCAGGACCCTCTTCCATAGGGTTGCTGTGTTTGGCTGGGGGTCCACTCCAGACCTTTTTGCCTGGATTCCTCCCACACCTGGAGGTGTCACCGGTGGAGGCTCCAGAACAGCAAAGATAGCTGTCTGCTCCTTCCCTCTGGGATCTCTGTCTCAGAAGAGCACTGACCTGATGCTGGCAAGAACTCTCTTGTACAAGGTGTCTGGCAATTTCTGTTGGGGGAGGTCTCATCCAGTCAGGAAGGCGGGAATCCGGGACCCACTTAACGAAACATTCTGGCTGCCCCTTGGCAGAGTCAGTAGCACACAGGGGGGATCTCACTCATCTGAACTGCCTGAATTCCTCAGAGCAAGCAGGGGGATAAGGCTGATCCAAAGAGACTGTGGCTACCCCTCCCCTCAGGCGTTCAGTCCTGGGGGATCAGAGTTCTGTTCCTAAACCCCTGACTGGAGTTGCTAAAATTCATTCACGGAGGCCCCTCCCCCTCAGTGAGGAGCGTTGGGTCAGGGTCTGGCCTAAAGAGGCAGTGTGGCCATAATCTGCCACAGCTGCTGTGCTGCACTGTGGGGAATTCCTTCTGGGTCCAAACTGTCTAGTCTCCCTGGCACCCGCAGGGAAAAACTGGCGACTGGAACTGCAGTGATGGCTGCCACCCCTCCCCCCGGGAGCTCAGTCATCCTAGGCAGCAGGCAGTCTTAGTGATAATGGCAACCTCTCTCTCTGGGAACTTGGTAGTCTTAGGCAGTCTCCAGCCAAGTGGCTGCTGAGAATCTGTACAGCTCTGCACTTGGGACCCAAGGCACTGGTGGCGTGGGCTCATGAGGGGGATCTCTTGATCTGTAGCCTGTACAGATCCATGGAAAAAGCAATGATTTCTCATGCAGGGTAGAAGGATTACTCACTGACTCCCTTGGATGGGGTTGGGCGCTCCCCTTACCCTTTGTGATTCCCAGGTGGGCCATCACGTTGCCGTACTTTTCCTCACTCTCCACAGGTCATGTCAACTGCCTAGTTATTCTCATTGAGAGAACCTGGATATCTCAGTGCTGGCACAGGATTCACTTGCGGTTTTCATTCTTCTCAGTTGGCGACTTCAACTGCAGCTGTTTCTAGTCAGCTATCTTGGTCCCTCCCTCCCACGGACAAATTTAACACAACAAGTGCAAGGACCTTACACTGGAAGATTTCCTTATGCTAGAATAAATCAAAGAGCTGAGTAAATGCAAAGACATCCTATGTTAAATGATAATATTGTAAAGAATACCCAAAAAATTGACCTACAAATTAAATGGAGTCCCTTCAAATTTCAACTATAGTTTCTATAGAAATTGACAAGTTTTTTCAATATCCACATATATATGCAAAGCAAACAAAAAACACAAACACAATCCTTAAAAGGAATAACAAAATTTAGCCAGGCACCGTAGCTCACGCCTGTAATCCCAGCACTTTGGGAGGACGAGGCGGGCAGATCAACTGAGGTCGGGAGTTCGAGACCAGCCTGACCAACATAGAGAAACTCCTTCTCTACTAAAAATACAAAATTAGCTGGGCATGGTGGCATATGCCTGTAATCCTAGCTACTTGGGAGGTGGAGGCAGGAGAATCGCTTGAACCTGGGAGGTGGAGGTTGTGGTGAGTTGAGATAGCGCCATTCCATTCCAGCCTGGGCAACAAGAGTGCAACTCCACCTAAAACAAAACAAAACAGGGGGCGGAGCAAGATGGCCAAATAGGAACAGCTCTAGTCTCCAACTCCCAGCACGAGCAACACAGAAGACCGGTGATTTCTGCATTTTCAACTGAGGTACTGGGTTCATCTCACTAGGGAGTGCCGGACAATTGGTGCTGGTCAGCTGCTGCAGCCCGACCAGCGAGAGCTGAAGCAGGGTCTGAGGCTGCCCTATCCTCACTAGGGGAGTGCCGACAATTGGTGCTGGCCGGGCCAAGCTGCAGCCCGACCGGGAAGGAGAGCTGAAGCAGGGTGAGGCATTGCCCTCACCTGGGAAGTGCAAGGGGAACTTTTCCTAGCCAGGGGAACTGAGAGTCAACAACACCTGGAAACCGGTAACTCCCACCCCAATACTGCGCTTTAAGCAAATGGGCACACCAGGAGATTGCAGGTCCCCACACCTGGGCTTCGTGAGGGTCCCACACCCACGGAGCTCCCCCACCTAAAGCACAGCAGTCCGCATCCAACCTGGTGGAAGGCAGCAGCAGCGAGGCTGGGGAGGGGGCGCCCGCCTTGCTGAGAGGCTTAAGTAGGTAAACAAAGCTGCTGGTGCCTGAACTGGGTGGAGCTCAGCAGCTCAAGGAAACCCGGCCTGTCTCCTGTGACCCAATTCTGACAGCGCTACGCTAAACAACAAAAAGCAGCGAGAAACCTCTGTAAGAGAGCCTAAAACCACTCAGTCCATTGACAGCTTCGAAGAGAGCAGTGGATCTCCCAACACGGAGTTTGAGATCTGAGAAGGGACAGACCCCCTGGCCTGTAAAGCGGGTCATCCTGACCCCGAGTAGCCTGGTCCGGCGATATCCCCACCAGGCAGTCTGGATCTCTGTAATAATCACAGGGTGGAGTACACCCCCTGAGAGGAAGCTTCCAAAGCAAGAATCAGACAGGCACACTGCCTTCAGTCACGTGTATTCTATCTTCAAAAAGCCCTTCAGCCATTAAACCCAGGCAAACAGGGTCTGGAGGAATCTCAAAGAAATCTCCAACAGACCTTATGTAGCTGAGGGTCCGAATCTCTCTCCTGCAAAGGAAACTTATCAAAACAGGAAAGCGACACCTACACCAAACCCCATCAGTATGTCACCACTGCATCAAAGACCAGAGGCAGGGTGATACAAACCACAAAGATGGGGGAAAAGCAGGCAGAGCAAGCTGGAAAACTAAAATGCAGTGCATCTCCGCAAAGGAGCTTGTGGTTCATTGCCAGCAAATGGATCAAAGCTGAGCTAGAGAATGACTTGACATGAGATGAGAGAAGAAGCCTA